TAAGGGGGAAGTTTATAGCTGTAAATGCCCATGTTATAAAAACAGAGAAGCCCAAATGAATAATCTCTGGACACACCTCAAGGTCCTAGAAAAACAAGAACAATCCAAAAAGAAGAGAAGGAAAAAATGGAAACAAAATTCTTGTAAACAAAGAAGGGAAGAGGGGAAAAAAAAATAAATAAATAAAGAGGGGAAGAGGGACTGAAGGGAGGGGAGGGAAATGGGAAAAAAAAAAGAAGCAAGATATATCATATGCAGGTACAAATTCCCTATGATGAATGTGATCAGTATGTATACCTACAACATACCAATAAAATAAAGATGGCTTTAAAATAAATAAATCGGTCATTTAAAAAAGCTAGGACATGGAAGGAAATTATAAAGAGTAGAACAGAAATCAATGAAATTGAAACCCCCTAAAACAACAATCAGATCTTTGAAAGAATAAATAAAATACACAAACAGCCAATCTAACCACAACAAAAAGAGAGAGAGAGAAAAAAAAAACCCAAATCAATGCAATTAGAAATGAAAAAGGTAGGCCAGCCATGGTGGTGCATGCCTGTAATCCCAGCACTTGGGAGGCTGAGGCAGGAGGATTGTTGTGAGTTCGAGACCAGTCTGGGCTATAAAGTGAGCTCAAGGCCAACCTGAACTGCATAGTGAGACCCTGTCTCAAAAAGACAAAAAAGAAAGAAAGAAAGAAAGAAAGAAAGAAAGAAAGAAAGAAAGAAAGAAAGAAAGAAAGAAAAAACATGAAATCACATGGCCACTGCTGAAATAACGAAGATTATTAACAACTACTTCACAAACCCATATGCCCATAAATTGATGAATTCAGAAGGATAGATTCCTAGATACATATAAATTTCCAAAACTGAGTAAAGAAGACTTCTAGACCCTGAATAATCCAATAACAAGCAAAGAATTAAAGCAGTAATAAAAAACCCACCAGGAAAAGCCCAGGTCCAGGTGCACTCACTGCTGAATTCTACAAACACTTTAGGGAAGACCTAACACCAAAACTCCTTAAGCTCTTTAATAAATTGAAAGTGAAAGAGTACTTCCAAATTCATTCCCTGAAGCTATCATTATCCTGAATCCAAAATCAGACAACAACCCAACTAAAAAAGAGAACTATAGACCAATCTCTTTAATGAGTATAGATGCATAAGGCCGGGCATGGTGGTGCACGCCTGTAATCCCAGCACTC